CATTAGACTCACAGACTCTTCTGAGACCCCGATTTGAATTTCACTTTTGCCATTTGGCTTTTATTTGAAGTCCAAACTTTCTAAATAGTTTGTCCAAATTTGTCGATAATTGGTCCAGCATTCTGGTAAGATACAGAATATAAATATGGGTCTCTGCCCCAATTGCTGGCACAGAGCTCCTGAAACATTTGGCATTGCTAAGTGATCAGAGCACTAGGAGTATCTTTTATTCTAATAGTTGGTTTTTTTTTTTTTTTTTTTTTGCGGTACGCGGGCCTCTCACTGCTGCGGCCTCTCCCGTTGCGGAGCACAGGCTCTGGACGCGCAGGCTCAGCGGCCATGGCTCACGGACCCAGCCGCTCCGTGGCATGTGGGATCCCCCCGGACTGGGGCACGAACCCGTGTCCCCTGCATCGGCAGGCAGACTCTCAACCACTGCGCCACCAGGGAAGCCCTAATAGTTGGTCTTTGACCCAGGTTCCTGACACAGAGCTCCTAAATCCCTTGCAATTGCCTGGGTGATAGCAGTGTCCTTCGTTCTAATGAGGTGACTCTTGGTGGGGGCACTGGTCCCCAGAAAGACCACAGTTAGAAGCTTGGGATTTTCAGCCCCATCCCTTGTTTTCCAGAGAGGGGAAAGGAGCTAGAAATGGAGTTAATGATTGATCGTGCCTACGTGATGAAACCTCCATAAAAAATTCCCAAAGTGTGGAGTTGGGAGAGCTGGGTAGGTGAACATGTGGAGGTGCTGGGAGAGCGGCCAGAGAGGCCGTGGAAGCTCCGAGCCCCTTCCCATACCTTGCCCTGTGCATCTCCTCCATCTAGATGTTCATCTGTATCTTTTATCATATCCTTTTATGAGAAACTTATAAACAATAAGGAACCTGTTTTCTTGAGTTCTGTGAGCCGCTTTGGCCAATTAATTGAACCTGAGGAAGGGGTGGTGGGAACCTCTGATTTATAGCTGATCTGTCAGAAGCACAAGTGACAGCCTGGACTTGGGATTGGACTTGGAGCGGCAGGTGAGCAGTCTTGTAGGAGTGAGGCCTTAACCTGTGGGATCTGACGTTATCTCCAGGCAGATGGTGTCAGAATTGAGTGAAATTGTAGGACACCCACTGGTGTCACAGGGAATGGCTTGCTGTGGGGAAACCCACACACATCTGGTGTCAGAAGTGTTGTGAGTATGACTAGTGGTGCAAGAGGAAAGACGAAACAGGAGGGGACTGAGCTGTTCCCATCAAGAACACTGGCAGAAACTTAAGTTGCTTGTCTAGTTTTCTGTGACTATTTTAGTCTGAAGCTTAACCTTTTAGTCTTCCAGCTCTTTTGTTTTATCCTCCCTTTGCTTGTATTTAATCAGATTTTGCGCTTTGGCCAGAGTCGTAATGTCTCTTCATTAATGGCTGCTTGTAGCAGTATCAACCCCAGAATTTGGCCCCCTCCCCTGTTGGCCCATCGGTGTTACTAATTCCAGTGGGCTAGGGAGTCAACCAGACCTGGGTTTGAATCCTGGCTCTGCCACTTATTAGATGAGTAATTTGGGGCATGTCATTTAAAGGATCCATCTGCTTCCTTATCTGTAAAAACAATAAAAGTATCTACCTATGTACACCAAAAACTAACACAAGATTGTAAATCAACTATACTTCAATGAAAAATAACAAAACAAAAAAGTATCTCCCTTGCTGGTTGTTCTGAGGATTAAATGGAGACATTTAATGCATTACAAGTCATACAGTAAACTATATAAATTAATAAAAGTTAGCCACTTTTGTGGTCAACTTCGTTTATGAAGCTACATATTTTTGGAAAAGACTACATGAAAAGCCAACAATTCCAAGCCACCCGCAGTTGAGTCTGTGCTCGTTGTACAGAGAAACTCAGCGTACAGGAATCATTCCTACAGTCAGAGGTCCTTCCTCCTCCTTCATTTCTTCTTTAGACATTTTTCCTTCATCCTGCTGCCAGTTTGGTTCCAGGCACAAAGTTGTGTCTGGCTTAGTCTATCCGGTAAAGGTCCAAGGCTGGATGCAGACACAAAAAAATCTCTTTCTCTAGCTGCTGGCTTTTCCAAACCGTGAAATCTGAAGCCCTTGCTATTCTCCCGTAATGTGACTCTCTATTATTTTTAAAAACAAACATTGAAAAATAAAAAGCAGAGTAATAGACTGTTTTTCATTCCAGCGTCTTCTATTTCAAATTAGTGGAGATTTGTAGGAATTTGGAGCCAGTGTTTTCTTGGTAGATCATTGAAAAAGAGGAGTGTAAACTTTGGTTCCCCATCTTAAATCTGGGTGTGAGCTATTTCTTTCCTGCAGCTGCTTCTACCTTTCTATTTTTCTTTTCCCTTATTTCTTCCATCTTAATCTCATTTCAATGCTGTTGCCTTAACTCCCTTTTTGAAACGGTTTTTACTTCCATGGTACCGTCTAATTGCTAACTGACCTCTGGCGGAAAGCCACAAAGAGCCACAGAGGAGCATTTGGGTAGATCATTAGAGAATGTCAACACTGGAAAGGATGAGGTCATCTAACTTTGTGGTTCTCAAACTGTGTTCCTTAGAATCCTAGGGTTCCCTGGAGGTCCACAGGCATCTTACAGAAAAGGAGAGGCTCAGCTGGGCCTCAAACTATTCAATCACAGTATCTCTGTTTCATCTGTTTTACATACGAGTGTTTAGCACACAACAAAGTTTTGAGGCTCTTTTTTTTCCCCCCCAAAACCTGAAAAACCACAGATATAGCTCAATTTTGTCATTTTACAGATGAGGAAACAGGCCCAAACAGGATGTGATTACCTCTAGATTATAAACAACTCCTTGGTGGATGAACTGGGGCTAGCAACCTCAGGGGTTCTTATTTATCTCAACTTTGGCATAATTCAGATGTTGCCGTTTTTCTTGTTTCAAAGAGAAAGAAGAGACTGAGGCACTGTGTTTGTGAACAGTTCTCAGCCAGCCACATGTTCGGAATCAGCAGGCTGCTTCCAGTCTGTTCTATCTATAGGTTGTTATGATATTGGCATGAGGCTGGCTCTAGGAGAGGATTGTGGACCAGGGAAAAGGTTGGTTGTTTGGTTGGGTTTTTTTCTCACGTCAGTCTTGCTAGAAAGTCCCTTTTTTGTTTTATACTGGAAATGTCCATCACCCCAGAACCAAGATATCTGATCAACTCCCTACAGGTGAATGTAGACCAGATCAGTCTTCAACTTCTTGTAAGTCATCCCAGGACTCCAGGGACCCACGGTGTGCCAGCAGGAGTCTGGGAACCAGCTGTGCAAAGCTCAGAATTGTTCCCAGGAAGGATTTCCCCAGAGTGCTGTTCTCCACTAAACTCTCTCAGGTTTCTGCCCCCTCAAATGCATTCTTGGCTAATGGTTCCTGGTCTTTTTGGATATCATAACTTTCTGAGAAAATATTTGAAATGACTTTGGGGGCTGACATGAAATTGCCAGTCTTTGTATTTTCCAATATCACTTAATAGCTACCGTTATGAAAGTTATTTGAACACCAAAATGTAGGAAAGACATGACTTGAGAAAGGAGCGCTCTTCCCAAGAAAGGATACTTCGGCATTGGATACCCATGATTCTTCCTGACACTATTTTTGTTCACTTGGTGGTGGATCCGTAATAACCTCTGGCCCTGGCAGTGTTCTGGGCCACAGGCCCCTTGGTTTCTGTAGCTTCTGCAGCGTCAGCCAGAGGGCACCTGTGGCACCATGAGAAATAAAGATTAGCTGACCACTGACAAGAGGGCATCTCAGTCTTACTCCAGGGGGAGTAAACTAAGACTGGGGTGTCCTCATCCAGCCTTGCTTCCCACTGATGTTCAGCGCATTTACTGTCCCAAGTGAGACAGGGACAGGCCATAACAGTCACAGCCACTCGCCACATTAAAAAGTAAGCACATTTCCCATCCATTTTGGAAAACTAAGCTCCATGGTCTGGCCGTTTGCCAACCAGAGGGGACCAGAGCAAGGACAGTGATGACATCAGGAATGGGTGGGAGCCAGGCCACTGGTGGTGAGAACCAGCTGGTGAGTGGACATATCAGATACCATATCCGGCATGGATGAAAAATGAGACATAGGGCTTCCCTGGTGGCGCAGTGGTTGAGAGTCCACCTGCCGATCGATGCAGGGGACACAGGTTTGTGCCCCGGTCTGGGAAGATCCCACATGCCGTGGAGCGACTGGGCCCGTGAGCCATGGCCCCTGGGCCTGCGCGTCCGGAGCCTGTGCTCCGCAATGGGAGAGGCCACAGCAGTGAGAGGCCCGCGTACCGAAAAAAAAAAAAAAAAAAAAAAGGAAAAAGGAGACATATCTTCGAATTCAGTATTCTCATGTCAAAATGTTTACATATTTTTTTAAATTAGGGTACAATAAAATAGAGGTACAACTTTGAGATGATTTCTTCTTTGACAAATAAATAGTTCTTATCAATAAAGCTAAAAATGTCCATCAGTGGAACCGAAAGAAGCTGTATACGACATCAGAAAAGGAATGGATTCGGAATTGGAAAATCGGGGCTTTGAAGGGCAGGTCTACAACTTCGGAACCAAAGACAGGCACTTAAGAGAGGCGTGCTGCCGAGTGCCACAACTCTGAAGGCACATCAACCTAAGTTTGAATACTGGCTCTGCTACCAACGCCCTTTAGCCTTTCAGGGCCTGTTTCCTTATTTTTCACGGGGGTGGTAGCCTACATGATCAGGGTGGGCCTTCTAATGCATCGCTTTACAAAGAATTTACAGACAAAACAGGAATGAAGAAAGCTTCTATTCATCCACTAAACAGAAAGGGCTCGGCTCTATGGAGGTCTTTGCCACGGCCAAGACTGCAATGCTGTCTGCATGTGCGTCTCTCCCACTCCATCCTCTGATACACGTGAGCAGGGCCCCGCACATGCTAAGGGACACAGCCCAGCCCACCCCACCTCTGCAGTCCTCTGTCAGTGAGCCGTGAACAAACCATACACAGAGAGAAGCTTCTTTTCTTTCTTCAATTTAATTGAAGTTACTTAGAAAAATAATCAGGCTTGAATGGCTTTTCCTGGAAGAAGGTTCATGAACATTTTCACGCTTTTGTTGGCAATGTGGAATTCAGCTTTCTTGAACAGTACAGTAAGATACAGGGAGAGTTTTCTACAACAGGCCCTCTACTGCACACAAATATGTAAAAAAAGAAAATCACACTCCACAAAGATGTTAAATTATATGTCCATATGCCATACTGAGCACGCTCCTAAGAAAATAGTACGGGCAGCCCCTTCTGTACCTGACAAAGGGTAACAGACTGAAATTCGCCCGTTAACGGCCGAAGGTCAAGCTGGTTGTAGATCCTGCTGCCTGTTCATAGGGTCCAGTTGGTTGTGATGGAAAAGGCTGGAGGAAATACTGGTTGTGGGAACTTTGGGGGAGTAATTAGGTCAGTCCTGCTGACATGAGTGGGCAAGAGATTCTGGTCCCCAGGATCGCACAGAATGGGGCAGCTCAGATTGCGTGTCTCTGTAGGGGATGGTCAGGCTGTGAGAAATGGGCTCTGAGCCCCACCCATCAGGGTCAGAGTCCCTCGGCTTCTGGCCAGGTTAGAACAGGGACTTCTGCAATCACTACCTCAGCAGTGGTCCAGACCCCACCAGCTAAGGATGTTAGGGACTCGCTTTTGTTCTGGGAATTTTCTACCAGTAGGGATCAGACCCTGGTGCTTCCACGCCTTTGCCACCAGGACACTGGTCCGACCGAAGTTTCCACTGCCCGCTGCTGTCCTGTGCCATACAGCTGAACAGGCAGGACCGTGAAACTCACCTGGTGGACAGGTGGGAAGGAAGGTCCCCTCTGAGACACCAACAGGTCAGCAGACTGCCCTTCTTCCCAGACCAGCTGGGGAGGCAGGGAAGGGGAAGGGTCTGAAGCAGCTGCAGGAATTCAAACCCTGTGGCTAATATTCTACAGTTTTCCAACCAAAGGGACAGGTTAAGCAGGAATGTCCTTGTAAATACAACTTTGTACCTGGTTTTGAAAACACAGCAGCACCTCTGAAAAGTGGCTCGAAGATGGGACACCTGCCTGTACTTTTCTCCAGCTAAGCATGCAATAGAAAGCGTTTTCAAACAGTCTTCTTTAAAAAAAAGGAAAAGGAACGAAAGAACCAAGAACTTTTGTTTCCCAGGCACATTTTCACCCATGGATTCTTTTTAACCAAGGACACAGAGTACTTTCTACATTCTGCAAAAACAGTTGAATTGATATTTTTTTAAAAAGTTTTTATGCCATTAGAAAATAAAATATGAACACAAAAAACGAGGAGAAAGAGCCCCTCATTGCCGAACCATACCGCAGTATCGTCCCCTGAAGGACACCCTTTCCCACTAGAGCGAGAAGACGAATGAAGGCATCACAGCTGATCAAAGACGGAGATGTGGAAATGCAAAACGCGGGAAATCCACGTGAATTTCCACTTAAAGTACTAAAAGAACACCGAACAATTCCAAACTATAGAATCGAAGGAGCATTCAGCAAGGGTTGAGCTCTCTTGGCTTGCACTGAGCAACCTTAGGCTTGAGCACTAGGGGGACCAACTGAGGCTTTGTGCCCCTCCCCCATCCCTCCTTCTGTCAGCACCACCCAAGACTCTTCCGGCACTCCCTTTGGGAGGGAGGGAATCGTGGCCCATGTAATATCCAGGATTAGAACCATTGCACTTAAGCAAAAGTTGAATTCATTTGATAAAGTACCTTCATTGCTATAAAGCAGGTGGAGACTGTGGTGCTGTTTTATTGTTGTTTTGTTTTGTTTTTGGAAGCGGGGTGTCAGGGAAGCAGTTTTTTATCCTTGAAGACCTCAGATGTGCTAAAGCAACCTAGCCAAAGAATATTCAGTGGAACGCTAGCTCTCTGAGATGATCTGCAAAATAGAGTATCCCGCTCAAAGAAGGTCAGGAAATGCCACCGACTCCATCAGTGATGCTCTTGGGAGTTCACAATGCACAGCACACATTCAAGGCTCTGAAAAGTCCTGCAGAAAGAAAATGGACTTCGCTTTGTTTCCCAAGGATATTTAACTACGGAACCCTTATTTTGCATCACACCAACTTGTGTCTGGGGAGAACAGGAAATGCCAGAAACCTCTTTCACTAGCAGAAGCTTTGTTTCTGAGGACAGTGTCCCCTGCCTGGAAACAGGGTCCAGGAATAATTCCAAGGACAGCTGAAGTCTGTCACTCTACTTGGTAAAACACATTGCATAAATCTCTATTTGTCAAGGGTACAGTTGACGTGCCCTTCGCAAAGGAGAGAGAGCTTAGAAGAAGGTACACAACATCTTATAAATAGCTTCGGCCACCCTCTCCAGTGCACACTTAACTCACATTCAATAAAATAATTTCCTCCGTGAGACATGGCAGCTGCTGCTCACTGAGCTGGCTGTGAGCTTTACAATACAATTTTAATAGCTTCTGTGAATAAATTATTTTTTGTTCGTTTAGAATATTCTTCTCCCCTCTGTTCTATACACTGCATCAAAAACAAAAAGCAAAACTTACCCACACCCCATCCCACCCCTCCCCCTATTATTAGAACTATTATTATATACAGTATCTGCCACCAACTCATTCACTAGCTGTAAGAGGGATGTGGCTCAAACTTCAGCAGAGGCATTGGAAATGAGAAGCATGTGCAGACCATTAATTAGCAAGGAACAGGGAATGGAATGTTTCCAGCCTTCCAGAGGAAAAGGGCATGGGTTACCATCACAGAAGGCTATCCTTGCTGCTCACTGCTGGTGGTTGCAAAGGTGCCGATGGTTTCTTGGCCTTTGGAGGAGCGGATATGCATTAAGTGTACAAATAGTCCGCCTCTGACCTTCACAAGGAGTAGAAATGCCAGGCCATTGCAAATCCTCCAATGTCTGAGTCCTGCCACAAAATTTTAATCTTTTACATGGCGAAGAGTAGAAAAAACACTTCTAGGTGGAGACCTTAAAGCTGGGCTGGAAATGACAGGAGGAGACGGTCGGCGAATATTCCCTTTCCTTCACCCAAGGCAGACGTCACTAATCAATCACAGCACTCTTCCATGCCGTGCCTGGCAAATCTGTTCTGGGGCTTAAAGGCAGATAGATACTACCAATAAATTGGAGTGGGCACATGACAGGAAACATTTTTGTCACCTCTTATGTTGGGCAATGAGCTTGGATTACTCACCAAGTTAAGTGGCCTGTTCCAAGCACATGGTTTTCAAATTTGGGCCATAGAAAAATGCAAATTTGTAGGGATCCTGAACCTTCTGGGGTGGTTTGTGAATAGTCCAAACCTCATGTTAAGTCCATGAATATCAGGGGTTTGCTAACTGTCAAGCTGGATACTCTGCGTCCACGTAAAGCTTCTTGAGGGCCAAGACTATTGGTTTTGTTTAATGCTCTATCCGCAGGGTCTAGAATTAGGCCTAGCTCATAGTAGTTGCTTAATAAATACTTGTTGAATGTAAAGCAACAGCCACTTCACCTTCATCACAACTGGCACTGCCAGTTAAAAAATTCTGTAGAAAAGCCTATTCTACCGGATTGCTAAGTCTGGTGGGAAAAAAAAAAAAAGCTACAATCAGCTCTCTCCTTGGGTTAAAAAAAAAAAATCACTTTTCTTTCGTGTGAGGAACGTTTGGGTCGACTGAAATCAGTTTGGAATCAGTCCCTTGCAAAGGTGCCTCTTTCTATTTATTTCTAGCAGAATTTCAGGAACGGTGGTATCAACAGACAGCACAATGGTTGTTATCACAGTGACTCTCTGAGCGGTTAATAAGGAGAACATTCATGCCCCTGCACGAGCTGCTGCAAGCACAGAACGAAACATAGATTTCTTCTGCAAAGACGTTAGAATCTTGCTGCCACAAAAAGAAATTTATACAGAGACCATGTTTAAATAACTATAAATAACATTAATTAGAATTTATGGGATGCACAATTCATGGAATTCACCCGAACACAAAGAAACCTCTGAAAGTGTTGGGGGATTCATGTCTAAAAAACAAGGACACCCATCCTAGTGCCCTGCAAAGACAGCCGTCCTTCCCTACTAAGGATTTTAAATAATTCTCACTATGCTGCTCGCAGCATCATCCCCAAAGAAATATTAATTTACAAAATAACCCAATATCCATAGAATTCTTTTGACAAATAAAAATCTTAAATTAAAAAGCACGATTCTCGCCCCTCTCCCCACCTCCACCCTTCACTCCAATTTCAGGTAGCTTGGCACTGAGTAATTGAACATTAAAAAATCGAGTTTGTAGACTTCGTACAGCTGCGTCTGGTGCTCTGAGCTGATGTTCTGGAAGAACTCTGTGGTCATTTCATCAGTAGTTCTCGTGGACTTGGCGTAGGTGGGGAACTTCAGGTAGCTGCCCACGCCCGCCAGCTGCAGGACGTAATTGGAATCCTCCTCCAGCGTCTCATACTTGCCCACGAGGTCATAGTGGATGTGGCACGGGTGGCAGAGGGAGTAGACGGTCTGCCAGTGTTCGTTGAAGGGCTCCTCGCGCTGCGTGTGCGGGTCTATGAGATAGGCCACGAACTCCTCGAACTTGACGTCGTCGCCCTTGCGCAGGGCCTCCTGCGTGGCGTTCTTGCGCTGCCGCCTGATGATCTTGGTGCCGTAGCGCTTGTGGAAGGAGGTGTTGTACTTCTGCGTGAACTTGTTCCGGTAGGCGGACACCAGCCTCTCGAAGGGCTCCCGCACGAACAGGAACTTCATGTAGCTTTTCAAGCGGTGGTTGATCTCGGGGATGCTGTACTGGTTCAGGGTCTTCAGGTTGGCCGAGACGTGTGCCTCGTTGGCCGGGATCTCCATGGGGTCGCTGTACTTGCCCCGCCCGGTCAGGACCATCATGAGCCGTTTCCAGTTGGTGCACGCCACCTTGGGCACGTAGCAGTAGATGAGCTCGTGGTCCTCATCCACCACCAGGTGCTTCAGGTCGTTGGGGGTCAGCACCCGCCGCTTGCGGCTCACGATGCTGTTGGCGCGGCACGTGTCTATGACCTGGTCCCGCCGCATCTGGTGCAGGACGGCCGTGTTGGAGAGCTCCAGCTGCAGAGGGGACACAAGAAGAATAAGAACTCAGTACTTGTGTGGGATGTTTACACTGGGTCACATCCACGACACGATGGCCAATGCGGGCCACCAAGGCAGCCACTGACAACCTAAATGGCCTGTCTCCCTTTCCAATTCTCCATCAGCTGTCGGGACTATTTTGGTTGTGTTCCACCATGCTTCCTTTGGAGAGTAATGATAATGACCAACTCTGTAACTTACCCATCACCCCCTACGCGCCAGGCATTTTATCAGAGCTTCATGTATACAGTTTTTCTTTTCACTGTACAACAAACTTGAACCGTTACTGATTTATTTAACAATATCAAATACCTGCGGCTGTGCCAGGTAGCATGCTGCTAGGCACCGGCGGTGCAGTAATGAAAAAGTGCAACGAGGTAACTGCCCTTAGGGAGCTGACAGTCCAGCTGGAAAGAAAAGGGAACTGAGGTTCAGAGATGTTAAAGAGAGATCACACAGCGAGAGAGTCAGTATTCAAACTCAGGTCTGCCTGGCAACCAAAGCTGCCCACTTTCCACTCTAACCTGATGTCCAGGCCTCCAGTCTTCTTGATTAAAGCAGGAAGAAAAGCATGGAGTTCTGGCATTTGTTGATCTATTTCGAAGCAAGGGGATCCAGTTTTTCTACAAGCCTATCGCTGTGGACACCTGTTGCTTTTTGCTTCCTCAGTACCAGTGCCTTGATTTTCACCTGAGAACCTGCTTTCCTTCATTCTCAGCTCCCTTTCCTCTCGCTGAGCTGAGAGAATGCACCCTGGAGCTTGGGGTCAGGGAGGAGGGACCACTATGCAGGGAGAACTAGACCGGGAATGAAGGGAACAGAGGAGGGATGAGCAGAAAGACAAGGGGATGTATTCCCAGCGACATCATCTGAATACCTGGCTCCATATGTTGAAACCAGACCCCCAGCTTCTGGGCTTTTGTTGCATCAGTCAATACATTTGCTTTGGTGCAAAAGGCAGTTTAAGTCTGGGTTATATATCACTTGGAACCATAATATATAGGTATTTACGTTTATTATCTTTGAGCTTTTCCTCTCTGCCATATTCATCCACTGATCCATCCATTCAAACATGTGTCCAGACCTCATAAAGTACAAGGCACTCTGCCCAGCACCCCTGGGAGATATAACCCTTTCCTAAAGGGCTCACAGCCTAGGAGGCGCCAGGCCAGAGAGCTGGCGGCCTCAGTAGGGGCCAAAGGGGAAAGCTGTGTGCTCCTCTGAATTCTAGGAGCAAAGGTTTCTCCCCTAAAGGCCGTTCACTCCCAATCTGAACTAGTTCTCACAGTCTACCTAGAAGACGCAACATGAGACCACACTGGCCTGGTGCACTGCCATCCTGGTCTCCAACCCCAGAGACTCAGAGACTTTCAATGGAGTGGTGGCACCCTACTGTTGTTTGGCTTAATGCCATGCCTCCATCCACCCTCCTGAATGTGTAATGTGCTCTTCTTTTTTTTTAATTTAAGTTTTTCTTTTATATCGGAGCATAGTTGATTTATAATGTTGTGTTAGTTTCAGATGTATGGGTCTTCTTTTAAATATCAAAGATACTAATATTATGATTAAAGTTATAGAGAGACTGGGGCACCAGGGCTATGGAATAGCTACTCTGGGGCTGCAGATGACATGGTTGCATCCCTGACCCCGGAATGAATGGGGTCCCCGTCCTCATACTCGTCTTCTGAGGTCCTTCAGAGTCCAGCACCAACCTACTTTTCCCACCTCATTCCCGTTCCTCCCCATTTTATTATTATTTATTATTATTATTTTTTTTTATTTTTGCGGTACACAGGCCTCTCACTGTTGTGGCCTCTCCCGTTGCGGAGCACAGGCTCTGGACGCGCAGGCTCAGCGGCCATGGCTCACGGGCCCAGCCGCCCTGCAGCATGTGGGATCCTCCCGGACCGGGGCACGAACCTGTGTCCCCTGCATCGGCAGGCGGACTCTCAACCACTGCGCCACCAGGGAAACCCTCCTCCCCCTTTTAGAACTGAAGGAAGCTCCAAAGAAACAAATGATTCACTCTTTTCCTGTTGGGCCCAGCCACTCCTATCTGGGATTCTTCCCTCTCCCTTTCTGCGGGTATAAACTGGATAATCCATGAAGGCCCAACACACTCCCCTGCCACATAAGTGGAAGAATCATTCCCTCCTCTAAACACCCTCCCCACTGAGCATCCTTTACAGCACAATTGCCCCACCTATTTCATGCCTGGTTTTCTCAAGTCGGGCGACCACTTGATTCACAGGGACCCAAAGCCACAGAGCCACTGCCCTCTCCAGGCTGGACTGCGGGTGGTCTAGAGTAGCTAATGTGGAGGGATCAGTGAAATCCCCCCGCTCCTAAAGCCACCTGCACAGGCAAGTCAGTAGAGCCAAGGGCCTGGGTGGGACCCAAGAAGCTGGCCTTGTGTTTCCAACTCTGAACCACAATCTGTACAATTCATTCTAGAATATGCACAGGGCAATTGGGATGGGCTTAAGTTAGGAACACTGATGAGTTTATGGGGGACCTGAGGGATATCCTGGGGGCCACTGGAGACAAGTCATTACATCCTGCTTTAGGGCTCTGTGTCTGTCTTCTCTCATGGTTCCCACGACGATGATGGTGTTGGTGATCATGAGCTGGTATGAGACAACAGCAGACAGCTGGGGGAGCTACTCTGTGTTAGGCACCTTCACACCTTCAGGTTATTTAAATACATTATCTTTAATCTTCCCAGCAATTCTCTGAAGTAGATGCTCTCACCACTGGAACTTTCCACACTCAAGGGAAGGAAGCAAACCAAGACAGAGTGCAAATGTTGTGAAAATTCCATGAGCAAACAGGAGATTCTCTTGCTACTTTAGTCTCACAAGCAACTGGGGGAAATCTCGAAGGAGTTGTCACTGCCCTCTCGACGGTCATTCCCCTTTACAATCCTACACTGTCACTCTTCCCTTCAAGAAGTCGAGTCTATTTCTCTAGCCCCTTGACTCCGGCTGGCTGTGACCTGCTCAGGCTAGCAGAATGTGTTAGAAGTGAGGACAAGCCAGTTCTGGAGCCTATTATGAAGCCTTGTAGTTCCTGCCCTTTGCGGCCACACCTTCATACCACACTGACAAAAGTTTCTCCCTGTTGAATGCAAGTACCATGAAGTGTGAACTTTCTCTTTCCAGGGCTGTAGCTCCAGTGCTTGCAATAGTGCCAGTCATATAGTAGACGGTCACTAAGTATTTGTTGAATGAATGAATGAATCAGTTAATTATCTCTTCAGGGAAACTTGATAGGAAAGGGGGAAGGCCCCTCTGTAGCTAAAGAAATTTCCCAATTGTTCATAGATGTCAGAACGTTCTTTAATAGAGGCTGTAATAGTGATACCCCAAAATTCATGGGGGACCTCAGAATGTGACCTTATTTGGAAATACGGGGTTTTTATTTGCAGATGCGATTCATTAAACTGAAGTCATACTGAGTTAAGGTGGGTCCTAGTCCAATGACTAGTGTCGTTATAAGGAGAGAATACAGAGACACACATAGAGAAGGCCACGTGATGGCAGAGGCAGAGGGTGGAGTGATGCATCTACTAGCTAAGAGATGCCAAGGATTGCCAGCAACAACCAGAAGCAGGGGAGGACAAGGAACGGTGTACGCGTGGAGCCGTCAGAGAGCGCGTGACCCTGCTGACACCTTGATTTTAGACTTCCAGCCTCTGGAGCTGTAAGAGAATAAACTCCTGTTATTTTAAGCCACTGAGTTTATGATACTTTGTTATGGCAGTCCTAGGGAACTAATACAGGAATGAAGCCTTCAGCCCATACCTTTGAGCAAATTGTTATAAAATATAAATGTATAAGAGAGGGTAACATTATATAAGATAATATTTTTACATAGAAGAGTAAGGAAAGGGTATTAGAGCACTAAGTAGAAAGTGGGTAAGATCTGCAATCAGAAGACCTAGGCGTGGGCAAGACCCTTAACTTTTTTTTTTTTAAATTAATTTGTATTGGAGTATATTTGCTTTACAATGTTGTGTTAGTTTCTGCTGTACAGAAAAGTGAATCAGCTATACGTATACATATATCCCCTCTTTTTTGGATTTCCTTCCCATTTAAGTCACCAGAGAGCACTGAGCAGAGTTCCCTGTGCTATACAGTAGGTTCTCATTAGTTATCTATTTTATACATAGTAGTGTATATATGTCAATCCCACTCTCCCACTTCATCCCAGCTCCCCTTCCACCCTGGTATCCATACTTCCCTTCTCTACGTCTGTGTCTCTATTCTGTTTTGCAAATAAGTTCACCTGTATCATTCTTCTAGTTTTTTGCTAAGATAAATTGTCTTTTTCCCTGGTTCAAGCCAAGGGCCCACAGAGCCATATTTGCTTGCCCCCACCTATGTGAATTACGGTAAAATCAAAGATGAGTATAAAAAAGGGGATCTAAGAGGTTAAAGAGTAGTGACACATTGATCTAAAGTACAAAATATTAGCTAGAAGGCTTGCCTGACTGTCTCTAACTCCCCTGAAGTTAAAGGGGAGGAATGAAGATTGTTTTAGCGGTTACACTTCAAAGACGACTTGGACAGCTGACCTTAAAATGTTGGTGAACTCTGTTTCATTCTTTGCTTTCTACTTATTATTATTAGTGAAAACCCTTAAAAAGGAAACAGACAATAAACTCAAAACTGTGTTCATTCCTATTTAATTACTGTATGGGAAGGAGAAGATTCTATATTATTTGGCTTTAGACTGCAAGAGAAAGATAGTTATGAAAAGAAAGAGCTGTAGTTTTTCTAAAGCAATGGATTAGAGAAACAGGGTCAATTCCTATGACAGACAACAAAAAGGTCTAAGAAGTACCCCAAGGAGCCATCCCTAAACCCAGTAGTGATTTTGGAGGAGGATTTTCAGAAAGACTCTTCTTAGGTAAATCCAGATATATCTCAATAGAGCTTGAAAATGGGGAAAGGTTGTGAAGATCACAAGATGAA